AAAATGAGAGTATGAACTACTCTTATACGTAAAAGTGTTTAGTTAACGAATTCGCAGTATCGCTTAGGCCAGTGCACACGCCGACCGGCGCGTGTAACTGTTGCCTTACTTGTCTCATCCGAGGAACTGCTAGGTTTAGCAGGATTGTTGACCATCGGACTTGGCTGGGGTGTGAGTGCGGGCGTAGTTGCCGGTTGCGTAGGCGTCAGGGGTACCGAGTCTTCAATGTAGGCCGCTTTAAGTCGGTCTACACTTACGGTGTCTTGCCGGCCAAATCGATCAATAACAAAAAATTTTTCTTTTCTACTGACGACCTTGAATGGTCCATCGTAAGGAGGTTGTAGGGGTCTACGGACGGTGTCACAACGCACAAAAACGTGGGTACAGCCATCGAGTCTAGCGTCTACTTGCACTCTCCTGTTTTGTGTGCGAGTGGGAGTTGGTTGCAGGCGTTGCATTAGGCGCTTGAGGTTCTGAGCATAACCCTGTACATCCGTAGCACCTGGTTCACCACTTTCAGGTGAGATAATTTCACCCGGTAGACGGAGGGTGGTACCAAACACCAACTCTGCGGAAGTGCACTGTAAGTCTGCTTTGAGTGTGGAACGGATACTAAGTAGCACTAGGGGAAGAGACTCAGTCCACTTAGTATTCTCTGTAGCCATTAACGAAGCTTTCAGTTGACGGTGAAAACGCTCCACAAGTCCATTTGCTGCTGGATGGTACGCGGTTGTTCGGATGCGTTTGCACCCCAGTAGCTCTAAGAGCTTCTTGAAGTGGGTTGATTCAAACTGCTGTCCACGGTCTGTAGTCACCGTAGATGGACATCCGAATTGAGGTACCCAGCGTTCCATGAACACTCGGCAAATGGTTTCCGCAGTCGTATCGGGGATGGGAATAGCTTCTGGCCAACGAGTGAACCTGTCGACACATGTCAACAAGTAACAGTGACCATTTGATGGTTGTAGAGGACCCACTATGTCTAGATGAACGTGGCTAAAGCGAGCGTCGGGTGTGGAGAAGGAACCCACTGGAGTGATGTTGTGCTTGTGGACTTTAGCCCGTTGACACGGCACACAGGCACGTGCCCAGATACGCACGTCTCGATTGATACCAGGCCAGACAAATCTAGCTGACACTAGTTTGTCCGTTGCCCGGATACCTGGGTGGGAAAGGTTGTGTAGGCTATCAAAAACTGTACGGCGCAATGAAGGTGGAACCTTGGGTCTCGGGGTACCGGTGGACAGATCACAGAGGATGGTACCCTCGCTATTAACGAGCGGGATACGCTTGATATGTAAGGAGGTATTTGACGACAGCTTATCAAGGTCTAACTCTGTAAGCTGACGTTGCGCCATTAGTTTCAAGTCAATGGTTGGAGGCGCCGATATGGTACATATCCGAGACAAGGCGTCTGCCACAGCATTGTCAACCCCCGAAATATGTCTAATATCCGAGGTGAATTGAGAGATATAATCCAAGTGACGCAGTTCGCGTGGGGAATACCTATCCGTAGTAGTGTGGAGGGCATACGTCAGTGGCTTGTGATCGGTAAATACTGTGAATTTCCGACCTTCAACAAAGTGGCGAAAATGTTTGATAGCCGCGTATATGGCGAGGAGTTCTCTGCCAAAGGTGCTATACCTCGCTTTAGCGGCGGACAACTTCCGGGAGAAAAAGGCGACTGGTATCCATGAAGTATGTACCAGTTGCTGTAGAACAGCTCCAATGGCTGTGTTAGATGCGTCGACTGAGATGCTAAGTGGAAGATGGACGTCAAGGTGGACTAGCATGGTGGCGTCTGCAATTGCCGACTTTATATTCTGGAAGGCTTCTCGAGCCTCCGATGTCATGTTGAACGTTTTGTTCCTACCCTTTAGTAGGTCTGTGAGTGGCAGTAAAATACGTGCACATTGGGGAACGAACCGTCGATAATAGCTCACCATGCCGAGAAATGTGCGTAAAGATTTCATTGACACAGGTTCCGGGAAGTCGCGTATTGCCTGTACCTTCTCAGGTAGCGGGCGAATTCCCTGCTCATTAATGACATGTCCCAGGAAGGTCAATGAATGGACGCCAATCTGACATTTGGACATGTTTAGCGTCAAACCATGGGCTGTTAGCCGCTCGAAAACCATCTGGAGATGCGTACGGTGGCTAGCTTCGTCTGGGCTAGCCACGAGAATATCGTCGAGGTAAGCGTGTGCGCAATCTAATCCTCGCAAAACATCGTGAATAAACCGCTGGAATGTTTGTGCGGCGTTGCGGAGTCCAAACGGCATTCGAAGAAATTCGAAAAGACCAAACGGGGTGATCACTGCCGTCTTAGGAATATCATCTGGGTGAACTGGAATCTGGTGATAGGCCCTGGTTAAGTCAAGTTTACTGAATACCGTGGCACCCTTGAGAGACGACGTAAGGTCATGAATGTGTGGTACGGGGTAACGATCAGGTACGGTCTGTGCGTTAAGCCTGCGGTAGTCACCACAAGGCCTCCAATCTATCCCGTTAGGCTTTGGTACCACGTGTAAAGGGGAAGACCACGGGCTGCTGGAAGGACGGATTATCCCCATCTCTAACATGTGTTCGAATTCAGCCTTCACGGCTTGTAGTTTTTCTGGGGACAATCGCCGTGGCTTAGCGAAAACCGGTGGACCAGTGGTCACGATATGATGAGTGACAGTAGACGTCACACAAGGAAGTTTAGAAATCGGTTTGAACAGATTGGCAAAGGACTGAAGAACTTCCGCGTAAGGGCCGTTAGAGGCAGGGGTTGAATATACTGGGCTTAATGCAGGTGTGAGTGTCACAACACCGGAGATCGAAAGGCTTGTAGCTGAATCGATCAGTTTGTGTTTGCCAGTATCAACCAGTAGCTGATAGTGTTGCATGAGATCCATGCCAATAATACCAGTAGTTACATCTGCTACAAGGAAAACCCATCGAAATGACCTACGTAGGCCTATGTTAAGGTCCAGGAACTTTTTGCCATACGTTGCGATTGGCGAACCATTTGCGGCGCGAAGCTGTAAGGAAAGTGGCCGCTTGCGCTCTTCAGATGTTGGTGGGATCACGCTAACTTCCGCCCCAGTGTCAACTAGGAAGCGTGTCCCAGTGGTACGGTCGGTAACATAGAAGAGGCGACATGGAAGTGGTTCGCCAGCGACGTTAGTCGCCAATACGTGCTGGCTTACAGGTTTCCCGATTGCTGGCCATCAAAGGTGCACGGGCGAGTGCACTTTTGGGCCTTCTCACCATAACGCCGGTGATACCAGCACACTCCAGGCTGGGAATTTTTAGGCCTACGACGTCTGCTGCCAGCTCGTGACGAAGATCTGCCACGAATCGAACTGGTACGGCTATGTGAACGACCTCTAGATCTCCTATCGAGTTTTAACTTATCTATCTCTTCGTACAGCTTATTGAGGTGAGCCACCACATCAACGTTGGATGACTCCACGGCAGAGGAGGTCCTAGTCTGCGTGGAACTAGCGGTAACGGCAACCGAGATACTCATGTTTGATGTAGTAGTCTCTACTACTCTATCGGCTGCCTCAGCTAGCTCAGATAAGGGGGAATGGTTGATTGGGGCTAAAATAGTCTGAATTGTCTGGGGTAACCGTTGTAACCACAGCTGTTTCAAGAAGGCATCATCTATTTTGAAGTCGGCCACCAACTGCCTCATTTGACGTAACAGTTGGGTGGGCTTTCTATCACCTAGGTGGACATCTCGGAATAGCTCCTGCACTTTCTGTTGTTCGGTAAGTGCCACGCGCTTAATAAGCGCCTGCTTGAGACGCTCGTACAAGCCCGGGGATCGGTCCGCAAGGACATCAGATACATCTTCCATGACGTGCTCAGGAAGACTTACTATAACGAGGTTCACCTTAGTCTCCTGTGAGTGTATATTACGAAGTGCGAACATAGCCTCGATGTGTTCGAACCATCGGGCAGGATGCTGAGTCCAGAAGGTGGGGAGTTGCAAGGTAATAGCCATTTCTGAGGCGGGACTGGCGTCAGTCATTTTGCACACGGGACGATATATTAATAAAATGACAACAAATATGATAACAACAAAAAATACGAGTAAAAACAAGGCAAATAAAAATTTACAACTCTGTATGACAAACAAATTACCAATATGAAAAAGGACTATTTACACGCTAGGCTAAACAGTAAGCAACGGTGAAAATTCGGGCTCACCACTTGTAAGAGTTGGACTTAGGGTTTGCTTCTAACTGACAATAACACTCTTACAAAACTCCTTCACCGTTTATAACCTTAATTAGTACTCTGCCTACGTGCAAGTACTAAAGAAACGGAATTGAAGTTAGAAGACTCAAAATGCCAAGTTTAACCGGACCGGAATTATATTTACACAACGAGATATGCAATTTGATAAGGAATAAAAAAATACACACTTACCTGGATGTGAGACGGCTGTCGGCTCGTAGAGTGTACTAGGTGAAAGTACAGCGAGAGAGCGAGACAGTAACCGTACAGGAGGAACCGGGGTACAAAGCGGAAGTGGAAGTGAAGTTCAACATGTCAGGTTGCATTCATTCAAACAAAAGTTCAAAGGTACAATGTACACTACATACTCAATATATTACTTAGGGAGAGCTTTGATTTCGAGAAGAAAGTGTCTAAAAGAATCACCAATTAAATACGACTTACCAACTTATAGAGACTTCCTCATACAAAGTGGTTGTGTCTGAATGTAAAACCATCAGTAACCTGGCGAAACTTCTGTGGAGTCATGATCCCTCCATATATGCATGTTTTATTCCTCCCTCTAAACACATTTTCAACACAGAAGTCGAAAACAAAATCTAGGAGACATTTTCAACGAGGATTACGACTAGCATCCGTTTGTAATGCTGAGCCATATGACTGGTCAAACCAAGGTTATTTGATTTTGGTGTTCATTGTTTACTCTTGCCAGGTGTCTTACTCTACCAATGACCTTGAGATTTAGGGATGAGTTCAGTCCCAATTCCCTGTCTGATTTATTTTGCGGCGGGTAAATTGAATTCTTTGGTTACGCGCCATTGACGGTTTGTTCACCGGCTTTCTTCCAAAGTGAACCTACTGATTCTTTGGGTGAGACATTTTGTTCTTTGGAAATGCAATTTCATGCTGACGTTTATCAGAATCATAAAAATCCAAGGAGTACTTAAATTGTTTTTGAAAAGTTGTTGGTTATTAATAGTGTTAAACCTTCGCTACAGAAATTCTCTACATTGGACATAGCACCAAACACATGCCTTTCATGTCATATTTGTACCTGAAAATCTTATCGTTAACAGTTGCATAACGTGGGCACTAAGATGACACAGTGTAGAATTGCAAAGAGCTGTTGATATCACTCACGCTCGCGCTTCGAAAATGAGTGGCATTTTCGCAGGGTGAAATTAAAACCTATCCCGAAGTCTCTCCGTGCATAGTAAAGCAAACGTTATCACAGATATACTGTCTAGACAAAGGAAGATGGTAAAACACGTTTAACATACTTAAACGTAACATGTGATGTGACAACGACACCCTTCTAAGCAAATAATACAAAATCAACTACTTGAAAAAACCAATTCCTAACTAATCACTACCGTTCTCCTTATACAGGCAGTCTTTGACGAAAGCGCGGGTGTTTTGATTTGCAAAGCAAGCCCTTTATCACGTCCTGGTGTATCTTCATCTTTTGTTTTGTTAAGTGCATCTGAAAGCCTCTTTTTGTTCACTTTGATTGAGTTAATTAGTTCGAAAATGGTTATTTGTGAGTCCTGCCACATCTCCATACCACTCGATATCAATTAATATGCACTATTTCCGTGTATGGGTGATATACAACATATACTGACATGAGTTGCCTAAATAATAGGACCACCGGAATGGCAATGTGATGGCTGAATTCTATGCTTTCTTAAGTTTTCCACTGGCTGATCACCTTTGGTTTACATAATGGTCTACACTATTTAACTTCCTACAATTATAAATAAAATGTAACACTAGTTTATAATCTAGTGATTATTATTATTAATTTGTCTTTTTATCTGGCTTACGTGTACTTCAACACTGCGTACTGATCAACGTGGACACCCTTTTTATATCTCTCATCTGAAGGTTCATCAGCAAACATATACCGGTAATAATAACGGTCGAGTGTATGATAAACCAAGGTATTTACTAGAATGACAGATCACAGTAATAATTGTGCAGACTCATTCGTTAAAGGTGTTGTAATTCACAAAATGTGCTAAGAGTAAGTTAGCTTCGTAGAGATTTGGTTCATTGGCTGGTGGATAGCATCATTCGCCATGATACGATAGGTGTGGAAGATAATGGATCTATTTTGAGTATTTGAGTGCAAAAGAATAGACAAATGCTGCAGAATGGCATACATTTCATAGATGGATATTACAGACTGGAATATTCATTTGTTGTTCATTGAGTATATAGGTCTGAGTGAAGCACATTCTTTCCAGAAAGTTCTCTTACAATCCGTAGTTATGAAACACAATTTAACACAGCAACAGCAGACGTGTGTGTGTGGCGGGCACCTTTTACCGCAATATCTGATCACGGATCTGAAATAATACGAGCTAAGAATTTAAAGATAATAATAATTTGCTTTATTCCAAAACAGTACTTGTGATACAGAATGGAATTCTCAGCATTTTCACTACAGTATTGCATCCAGTTAGTACATTATCAATAAATAGAATTCTACATAGATTAAGGAAATCTCAGTTCATTATGACAACAACATATTGGCATGTCGGTAGCAAAGCCAAAATTAAACAGAATGTTTGAAGGTGTTAGAAAAGTAGGAGCTGTCATATTTACTGGCGTAAGCGAGAGAAAGAAACAAAGCAGCACAAAACGGAAAGAAAAAAAGAGAGAGAGAAAAGGAAAAGAAAGAAAGAGAATGTTGTACCTACAAATGATATGAGTTGGAAAGACGAGATCCAGTTGTACTACTGACTATTTAATGAATTATAGGTGTCACGCCTAATGCTTTCTTTCTCGTACAGAACACGAGCTAAGTAGGGTATGGTTGAGTTTTTGTACTTGCTAGTGCGAGCATATAGTTTTCTATATAGGCTTCTGGTTTTGCCTAATGAGATGCAAGGGGAGAGTTGTGAGTGAAGAGGGTGGTGTGAGTTAGATGAAATGGATTTGGCCCATTTTTCACATGAGTCCATGTGCCTGTCGACCAGAATATTAACAAGCTGGTTAAGTGGCACATTGCTTACCCTGCTGACAACCTTTAACATCCTGCGTAATATGTTATAGTCTTTCTTCAGTATCCCGAGAAAAACTAAGGGGGAACAATAGAGAATAATAGGTAGAATGCGAGAGTTAACGAATTGTAGGAGTAAGGATTGGGTTATACCAGAATGTTTTAACTTCTTGATGTAGAAGGTAAGACGGAATATTTTCTTCGAAATCGCCAAGATATGAGACGACCAGGAGAGATCATCAGATAGAATGACGCCTAGGTATTTAATTTCCGACTTGGTTTCTATTTCAGTTCCATCTATGTTGCACACCTCGTGAAAGCCAACCAGTTTGTTTAGGTCGGATTTATGCTTAAAGGTGAAATTGACTGTTTGGCATTTGGAGGGGTATAAGGTAAGGCCGTTTTCCTTGGACCACTGGCTGGCCATTGAGAGCCGAAGACATGGAAAGATTAGCTGTGTTCGATCATAGGTGTCTGCGTTCTATCTCCCGCGTGAAGTAGTACAACAAGGTGAGCAATATTGAGGTAAGGCATCGACTGCTAGGTAAGGCGGGGAAATCGGTCGACGAAACTGAAATTACATCGACTGAGATGGTTAGGACATGTGCTACGTATGCCTAGTCATCGCCTTCCTCGACAACGGACGGGGCAATGTTGGCTGATATAGGGCCAGGCTGGAAAAGAGCTAGCGGCGGTCAAACGAAAACATGGCTTCACCAGTCAATGAAATCCACAACAGTTAGTTTAAGCCAGCCACGTAGGAAGATGTAGACTTCCTGGTTGGGGTCCTTGGGACAGTAAAAACCAATGGTTGGAAACAATTGGTGACATGGCTCAAAATCGTTCTCAATGGCTGGTTGACGCAGATGCATCCACTCCTTGTGACTTATGATTTCCAATGAAACTGTTTTGTTCTCCGTTATTACTATTCCTTTGTCTCACACCTCTGTTTACTGTCTCTAATATGCATTTCTTCTACTTTCTTCTGTTGCTTTGTGTGCTACAAGGAGGGAGTGTGGCGACTTGAGCTGCCGCACATATGTGCAAAGTTCTGTGGCGAAAACCGACCGACCGACCGGACCACTGGCTGGTTTCTGATAGAAAGCCATTTAGTTTAGGGCAGTCACTTTGACATTTCACAGGCAAAGATACAGTCAGGCGGTCAGCATATTTGACAAAATTATTATCATTTGAAGATGGTAAGCCCTGTAGGAAGAAGGAACGGTATTTGTATAACAAGCGGAGATTATGGTGAAACTGGGCTGAAAATAACTGATATTTTAAATGACAGTTTTGTGAATCTTAGTCTTTTATGAAGATCCTCAAACCAAACAGTTCATAGTTTTCTAATGTCGTCACGTTAGCCAGGTATATGCAATAATAGAAGACTGACTTGCTTTTTTAAATTTAAGTAAGATGAACACACATTTTTGATAATACAAGCTCGTTTCATTTCGTGCATTTATTCTCTTCAACTACTGCCTACATCCTAAAGAAACCAATTATAATTCACAAAATAGTGTCTGAACATACTTTTTACAATGGCTTGAAGTTATAGATAGAAAGTATAGGCAACATAATTTCAAAGGTGATGTAAGCAGACAATTATTTAGTGTTAAAAGAGTAACTATTTATATCGCTATTAGACAAGGGGTAGAGTTCAGATTTCGTTTGGAAACAAGGATGAACTAGAAAGGGAATACAAGATAGAAACAACAGAGTGAATTTGTACATATTATAGTGGAGAGTTCAGGAAAGTGGTTGGGGTGAGGGTGAATAATGAAGTCAACTCAGTGAGTGAGTGAGTGAAAATCAAAATCAAGATTGAGTGGAATTTTATGCAACAGGACAAAACAAAACACAAAGGCTCACGAACAAAATAATTACGGTTACTAAAAGGGGTAGTGAGAGGTTAGTTACAGTCTTTCTGTGTGGAAGTCTTTCGATGGCAATGGCTTCTGTGAACCGAAGGAGTCATGCTTTTCTTTGTGTATTGATTATTTTGAAAACCTGCAGGCTAATTTCCAGGCTCAGATTTTAACCGATCGGGCGAAGGCTGTGGTTATTCAAGTACTGGTCACTCCAAGTTTCTTTCTTGTAGAGGGATTTTTGAGTCCTCCCATCATATCTTCTTTTTATGTTGGTATCTAGGAAGTGGAACTGATTGTCGCGTTCATAGTCCATTGCAAATGCTATGTGAGGGTGAGCCGCATTAGGGCTTCCGAACATCGTGGATGCATGATCCATTGTTGTTGCAAACCACAAATATTGTGTCGTCAACATACCTGCAGCAATATGTGCTTCTCTCCACTTCCCTCTTCATTCGTGTCTGTTCAAGATGAGACTTGAATATATGTCCTCAATAATAGGACGCAAAGGTGAACTATAGCCACCCGGCTAATTTGCCGGTACAGCTCTTTGTTGAATCCGAACTGAACGTTTTCTGTACAAAGAAGAAGTGGTAATTTTCGTAACTTCCTTTTTAGGAAGAGGGATTAGTTCGGATTGGTGGCATATGATTCCTGCTGTTGCTTCAACGGCTATGCCAGTAAACAGCGAACAAACATCGTATGATACTAAAAGTTTCACTGAAATATTCACTTGGTCTGGTTCTTGGGAGAATTCGAAGGATCCCTTGAGATACTGTGAACTGCCAACTTTTGTCGAATTGGCCCCAAATTTTTTTGCCAACCACCTAGCTAGTTTATGGCATGGTGGTTTCATCAGTGACATTATAGGTCTCAATGGCACATCAGGTTTGTGGACTTTGAAGGGTTGACCATACATAAACGGTAGGCCTGAACCCCTTGTTTTGAGTTCCTTGTAGGCGCTGTTGTCTATTAAACCTTCCAAATTAGTTTGT